AAACGCTGCATTCTGATTGGCTGTGAGTGCATTTAAAAATAAACATCACAGCATTATGATGACGCAGAGTTTTGAGAGATATGTCTAGCGATATTTGAGAGGGTTATGTAACGTCTCTAATATGAGTTTCTTTACGTTGATGATGATGCCTTCACTGTTCATCCAATTAGAATTTGTTTTCTAATATCAGTGTTTTGAGTCTCTAGTTTTGATTTTTATTAATCTGTTTTTACACTGATTCACTCATTTGATATGAATCATCTGATCTTGATTTGAGGCCATCAATATTCAAATAAACAGCAGCTTTTATTTAAATTGCGATTCATCACGTGATTATTGAATATATTTACTATTTTTGTTGAATTTCTAGGCAAAATAACTATATTGTGACGTATATGTAAGAGTCTCTCGAGTTCAGGGCTGTAATGAGGTCATGTGGGTCTGTAAAGCGATATGACTGGAGGAGCGCTGGGTAATTTTAGCAGTTGGTTGATGTTTTGGATGCCATGAGCCCAGAGAAACACCAGTGTCACTGCGATATCTTTAGAAAGCGTTGACGAGACAGAAACACGTGAACGAGAGACTGCAGGTCGAGAAAAGATGAAGTTCAGTTACCCAGATTACACAAGACTGTTTCTGTGATTCATGTACAAAATAGAGTCTGAAAACAAAAACATTAAATACACACACACAAGCGCACACACACACACACACACACAGGGCAGTTGTGGCCTAATGGTTAGACAGTCTGACTGGTAACCCAAAGGTTGCTGGTTACATTCTAGTACCGGCAAGAATTACTTATATATATATATATATATTTGTTAGGGGTGTAACGATTCGTTTTAACAACGATTCGATTCGTATCACGATTCGTGGTTGTCGATACGATTCAAGGACGATATTGGTTCATTTAGAACGATACGATCCAAAACGATTCAGTGACTTGAAATCGATTCAGTAACTTTTTAGCCAAAAATTCAACCAGTGTGACTGAAAGGGATAGTTCACCCAAAAATGAAAATTCTGTCATAATTTACTCACCCTCAAGTTGTTTCAAACCTGTATGAGTTTCTTTCTTCTGCTGAACACAAAAGAAGATATTTTGAAGAATGTTGGTGAACAGACAGTTGCTGGACCCCATTGACTTCCATAGTATCTTTTTTTCCTACTATGGAAGTCAATGGGGTCCAGCAACTGTCTGTTCACCAACATTCTTTAAAATATCTTCTTTTGTGTTCAGCAGAAGAAAGAAACTCATACAGGTTTGAAACAACTTGAGGGTGAGTAAATTATGACAGAATTTTCATTTTTGGGTGAACTATCCCTTGAAATAAATACCTGGATACTGGACAGTGCGGGTAAAGTTTCCTAGATTCATGTTGTTTCTTGTAAGGGAATCAATCAGGTATCAATTAATTATAGATATAAACTAGGGCTGCACGATTTGGGGAAAATGTCATATTGCGATTATTGAGGTCAATATTGCGATTGCGATAATAATATGATTTCATGAGTGAACTTGCTTGGTTCTCAAGGAAAATGCACACAATTAGTGATAATGCTGAAATGTGTAGACTATTTCTCAACTCAAACTTGCAACAACAACTAAATGATTAATAACACCTATAATGATCAATAGGCCATTGATGTCTGGATAAAAATTTCTGGACAT